TTCAGATCTCAGGGACCTCAACCTACAGGTCAGAGGTCAAGTTTTCTGAGAGTCTTCTGAACATGATGGTCGTGTCCAAATTCATGGGCTGCATCCTCCTGAGGACTCGCCCTTCGCGGTCTACGTGGGCGAGGTCGTCAGAAGGTTGGGTAGGCCGGAAGTAAACGGCTGTGAAATTGGACGGTCTAGCCTTCAGATTTGTGTCGCCGCTGTCTCGGTGGAGTTTAATAAACTCAGCCGTCTGCTCCTTGCTATCTAAAATATAACAGGACACTGGTGTAAATTCTCGACTGTCTCATACTTCTGTTTAATAAGTTTTCTGTTTGACGTTTAGTCAGCTGTGTGAAAACCAAGGAGGAACCCACCCGGGGGATTAATAAAGTTTTATTTTATGTAACCTAATAACTTTAATCTCAGCCAAACCGATTTACTCACGAACAAATAAAACACTGAAAAAAGCCAAACAAGAACATTTTTAGGTTATCTAAGTGACTTATATATTACGTTTAACCTGAGTAGCGAAAGACCGCGATAATCTGAAAAATGATCTGCCGGGAGTTTGCTGCTCTCAGCGGCTCTAGTGACCCTCGAGCTCCCGGCTAGCTATCGAGCTGGTGGATAACAGACGTCTCCGAAAACGTCAGAGCACTTTTGCAAATATGCGATGTCTTGATAAACTGAGCAGATATTTGAAGTTTACAGACCCACATTCTCGCCTGAAAATATGTTAAACATTTATTTTGTGACCCAGAGTAATAAGAGTAATATTAAAAACTTAGTGGCCGCCATTGTTTTATAACTGGAATTGGCTGGGCCGCGCTATGAATTCTGGGATATGATGGGCCACGAAGGATACACCTGACCCATCCTTTAAATTCAGGGAAAAGGAGGACGCATTTGTCGGTTGCATTCGGAGGAGTGTACGACTTTGGACAGCCTTCGTCGCGTCGCTGTGATGTAATCGGCCTACAAATGCAGCCCATGAATTTGGACACGACTGATAACTGTGGGACAAGTCGACATAGGATTTTTAAATTGATACAATAGTTGTGTACTAGGAGTCTGAGCGTTATCACTGGCAGTTGCTAGTATTTGTAGTCTAGCAGGTGACAGGTATAGCTACAGATAATATCAGAATCTAATCTGATTAATTCATAATTTAGCTTCTATAATTTGTGAGATCATAAAAACATCAAATTATTAAACAATGCTATTACACTAAACTGACAAATAGATGACAGTAAAACCTTTTGGTATATGACGTCAAAGACAGTGGACACTTGCATATTTAATCAGCTTTTCTTCAGTTTTATCATGACTTGTGCTGACATGTTTTTGTGTGGCACCCCCGCCTAACAATATTGCGTGATCCTGGGATGTTATTCCATTTTACATGCTGAAAGGTGGCATTGTCTGTTTTACTGTAGGGTGCGTATGTGTCGTAAAATATCGGTTTATCTGTTTTCAGGTGAAAAGAAACTGAAATTGTGGTCACGCTTTCATTTGCATTTAATCTGCAGATCAGCACACAGCACTACTTTCCTTAACACCTCCCTCCCCCAATATCAGTAAAGCGTGCTGGTGTCCAGAGTTAATGAGAAAAGTACAACTTTGTGAAGTACCATGATCTTGGTTGTTCATAACAGTGCTAAACAGTTTATCAGAAGTCGTCTGCTTCAGAGATAAAAAATTTTTGATTTTGATATGCTAAATTCAAATCATGTACAGTTGTTTTTTTTTTTAATTTTCACCAATTTGCTGCTTAGATGAGTTTTACTTATAAATTGTAAGCTTATGTCTTCTCATCTGTTTATAGTTTTATATATTAATACAGTTATGTCCATAATTTGTTGAGTTAAGACTCAGTTTTTGTAGTTTTCTCTGTACACCATCACAGTGGATTTGAACTCAAACAGTGATTGAAGTGCAGACTTTCTGGGGTTCCAGAAAACTGCATTAACTGTTTAGGAATTGTTGCAATTTTTATACATAGTTTGTGGATGTTTCCGCAACAAAACCAAATTATTTATCGCTGTAAAGCCCGAACCATTAAGTACTTGCCAGAATATTCAATCGTTTTGAAACTGGAGTCTTTATTGATTCTTCTGAGAATTTAAAACAAAGCTGAATAAAAATGTGCATTATGAGTTTTAATTTGGATATTTTTTTACTACACCTGGCATTTTCCGATCCCTGTAGGATTATCCATCACACTGATGATGTGTGATGGATAAAGAGATACGAAAGAATTCAAATGTGATGCACTCTGCATTACAGGGTTAAGAGTGAAGGGGATCAATAAAAGAAAGTATTTACTTAGTACTAAGTTTACATGCATTTCGCTGGTACAATTTCCATTATTTACAGTACTTTATACAGCATATTGTGAAAGAAAACTAAAAAAATTACTTGTGAGATATTTTATATCTAATATTTTAATATGCTTTAAGAAAACATGTAACTTTACTGTGTGGCATTAGATTTCCTGCTACTAGAAAGGTCAAATCTAAGGTCAGAGTGGAAGTTGAAGGGTCAAATTTCAATGTCACATTTGAAATCTGTATAAGAGCCCAACTTCATCAACTTTAGATGAATAGTTTAAGAATAATAATTTGGTCTAAGAGGCAAGCTGGTAACATATCATTTAAAACTGGAGCCAACCAATGTACAGCATCATTTTCAGTTCCAGTGACTAAAAATTAGCGAACATTGGCAATTGTTTCAGAATCATTTTGGCTTTACATCAGTATGATTGAAAATCTAAAAACCAGCTGAATTGCTGCTGTTGTTGAAAGTGTATTAGTTGTTGTTTTAATATCTCAGGGAAGCGCTGTTCTTTAAAAAACAAAACCAAAAAAACCACCAGTTTTGCAGTGCACATCAGACAAAATGTATGTTGTTTTTCTTTTCCCACGGTTTATACCTTCAGTGTGGTTTGCACCTGGGGGAGGTAATTTTGCTCTCCACAATACTGCTCTTACATGTCAGAGCTGGGAAAATTTGTTGGGTCACTTCCAGGGTTAATGAAAACATCAGCTCTCCGGGCAGTGACTGAAATGTCTCCTTGATTCGTCGTTGCACTTGAACTTGCATGGAGTATTACTTCTTCTTCCCCCTGATAATGTTTGTAGATGACTGTTGTTATGTCTCCTCTGCAGGTGATGTACCTGTTTCTGCACACAGTGAAGGGCACTCCCTTTGAAACACCAGACCAAGGCAAAGCCCGTCTGCTCACACACTGGGAACAGATGGATTACGGCGTCCAGTTCACATCTTCACGCAAATTTCTTACCATCTCACCAATTGTTCTGTAAGTACATACACTGTTCACAACAGAACGTCACAGATAGCTTACAGTTTCACTTTCATTAGGATGAGTAATTTAACATGTAAAGGTTGCATAACTGCTGTATGTTATTTGACAACAATTTAGGCTTTTAACCGCTTTTTAAAGGATTTGTTAACAGTGATCAGCCGACAGAAACAGAAATATCAGCCCAAATAGCGACTGGCTACCCCAAGAATTACCCGTTGCCCTTATCAGTGGATAGAAAGTTAAACTTTGCTATGTTCTTTAGCCAACATGAGTCCTACATGTGTTTGTGTAAAGTAATTAAATTAAAAAGTAGTCTGCTTTTATAATAAATAAAAGATTTGGCAGTTTAATAGTTCTCCAAAGAGTAAAAGTAAAAAAGTACACCAGTTTCAATATAATTTTGACTGCAGCTGAGCAAATTAGTAAGCCAGCAGGGATGGTAGTGAAAGCAAGTGAAAGCAAACAAATCTGTCAACTCACTGTTAAATCCCCTGTTTTATTCTGTGACTGTTTTTTTTTTGTTTTTTTTCCTTTTGGATTTCAAAACCATAGTTAGGGACGCTCGGGAAAAGCAATTTGCATGTATTCATTCATGCTAACCACCGCTACTGAGGTTCAGTGAAACTAAGAGGAAAAGGTCTGAGGTGATAGACGTAGGCCGGTGATTCCCAAAGTGTGGGCTGTGAAGGCATGGACGATGGGGCATGAGAGGTCATTTATAATAAATGCAGTTTTTTTTAAAACATATATATTAAATATATATATATATATATTATATGATTTTTATAGTAGAGGTTAAACTTGTATGATCCCCTTTTATAGGTTGAATCCAATGATAATTCTTTTGGCTTTGGTTCCAGAAGTTTGTTAGAATTTTTTTCTTTTTGTTTTTAGATTTGTAATTTTGTTTAAAATTGTTGTGATGAATATGAGTTTCTGGGATTGAGGTTGGCCAAAAACTGAAAAGCTAAGGCCAAATATTCTCAGCCTGAACTTTCTGTGTGTCATGTACTTTTGTTTTATCATGTATTTGTGTGTGTGTTATAATCCTGAAGAATTCATGTTGATGTTGATGCTTTCTTTCTCTCACTCTCTTTCTTTACAGATATATTCTTGCAAGTTTCTACACAAAATACGATCCTACGCATTTCCTCATCAACACGTGCTCGCTCCTTAGCGTCCTCCTCCCAAAGCTGCCTCAGTTTCATGGAGTACGGATATTTGGGATCAACAAGTACTGACAGAACACTGGATTTTAAACTTCAACACTGGACTGTTTCAATTTTAGAGGCTGCAAAAGAAGAAAATCTGTTTAAATGGTCTGAACATGTACACATTGTTTGGAGTATTACATGAAAGTTGCTTGCAGCCTGGTGAAAGTAAATGCACTGCTGCTGTTTAATCAAAGTAAACGATGACATTCCCGATGTAAAGGCCAGACATGTTTGCTCTTGTCTTGGAGAAAGAGCATATTTATAACTGCACTGCTTTCACGTGTAGCTTTTCTACAGATGTTGGTTGTTGTCATGAATGTAAATGAATATTTTTGATTCATGTTGCAAATGGCACTTGAAAGTTTTCTTTTTCTTAATTTACTATGAAGGATTAACATGCAGCATGCATTTACATGCCCATAATAATAATAAACATTTTGCCATGATAAACATAATCATGTAATGTTTGATTCAACAGCAGGGTTATCTTTATTTCACAGAATCTAGTGGGAAAAGTGCAAAATCCCATTGTACAGAGGTGTGCAGGAATCAAATCCTGCCAAAATCTCTATTATAAATGATCAATTGTAGGTCAGTGTACAAGCTCCGGGGAAATCCAGACACTTTACATGAAGCAGCCATGTGGGGGCCATCACAGAGATTGCAATATACTCGTATATCCAAGGGATTCTCCCCCTTCCACATGCACCGTGGTCGCGTTTGCATTGCAGCGAGGTTTCCCTGTTTGTGACGTTCTTTGGGGAAGTTAAAAAAGAAAAAAGAGCGACGTGTGAATGTGATTACACTGCCAAACAGTGCCTGGGAAACACATGCAAATAACGCCAGCTGTTTCAAACAAGTTGTGTAATCGAGTGTAATCATTTGCAAAAGTGGTATTTGGGTTGTTCCCTGTCTCCAAATGTTGTGAGGGCAGACGTATAATGTAAAGAAGCCAGAGATGGAATGCACAGGGCAGTTGGGTTTAAATGTCAAAATGTCCCCAATACATCAGAAATGGCTCACTGAAACTAGAGAGTGGGAGAGAAAGAATGAATACAATGTTTTAGCTCTAACGTATACTTAAAGCTGCCTGATTGAAGATAACACTGTGTGGCTTTAACAGCAAGTTAGGTCCACTGCAGTTTTTCCCTGTTCTGTTTCCACTTTCAGTTTATTGTGAACTTAGTAAAACCTTGAAGATACGTACCGTATATTTAAAGGCTTGACTCAACATTGCATATGTAATGCGAGTGTTTGCCAGTCATGACTGGATTACATAGAAGGTTGTGTGGCACGATATGTCGGAAGTAATGCGAAGATATGAGAAATGTCGCACATTCTTACTTTACAGCTGAGTGGTGGTTTCTTTGAAGTTAAGGTCATATTTTAACAGATTTAAAGATGCCCCTTTAAATGCGAACACCAGCGAAAATCATTTGAAAGATGCGTGTTTCAAACTGAAAATACTGTTTTGCTTGTTTTGTTTCTAGATAAGTGAGGAACAACAGAAGATATCGTGTCTAAAGTACATTTGAATCTGCATACTGGACAAATGAATCACTCGACAGAAACAACAAAAACAGTTTCTGCAAATGCTGTTTGATTCAAATCACTCCATTGTTGTCTGCAAAGTGGGTTTGCTGCTATGACAGGAGTTACCAAAAGAAGCATCAATGATTTACAGATAGAATCTACTTATCCAATTCAGGGTGACTGAGGGGCTGGAGCCCATTCCAGCTATCCACAGAGCAAAATATGCTACAACCTGGGCAGGTCACCAGCCTGCTGCGGGGCTAACAGCAGGCAGGTTAACTAGTGTTAACCCAACACCACTACATGTCTTTGGACTGTGGGAGGAAGCTGGAGTGCGGGGACAACATGCAAACTCTACACAGAAAAGCCCTGCCAGGTGCAATCCACCACCTGATTTTATTTTCAAAAAAAATGATCCGATCTTTAGTAAATCAGTTGTTAAACCTGTTGAAATGTGACCTAGTTGTCAAAAAGAAGCAGGACAGAATTGGGCTCCGACATCAAATTGGGGGAAAAGAAGTATTTTATTAAAACAAGCAGGTCCTCTTAAAAGATTCCCATGCTAATTTCATTCACCGAAGTCATGGCATTTTGACCAGACCACCAAACAAACCTGGCACCAACACAGCACCACAAAACTGCTGTGACCAAATTCAAACCGAAATGTGGGTTGCTTCCTAAAAGGCATCAAGGTAGAACTGGCTCTGTACCAGGACGGGGATAGAGCTGGTAGAAAGGCCACCTACTAAACAAAAGTGAATAGAAGTAAACCAAGAAAGACAGTAGCACAACCTAAATAATCAAGAATTATAATCCACACTCACACCATATAACCGAATGCTTACATTATGCCTGCTTTTTTTTTTTTTTTTTTAAAAAGGCCGCTTTATTCCCCTGCGAGTGACCCCAAATCCTTGTAACATCTAGTCACTGCTAGATGACTAAAATTCAAATTTTACATTCACAGGTATCTGGCATTAGGGAATACACAATTTTCCCTTCTAGAGGCCTGTTTGACCGGGGGCTTTACCTACATATGGTAATATGTCATTAATGATGACACGTCATGTGTTGGTGTGATGGAAGGATTGTTCAAGCGCAACACAACAAAATGTTTTATATGATAAGTAAGTATTGTTATTGCATTACTCATTTTCATCCAGCCCGAACTTGGCCCCTCGAAATCTTCCTCCCACTGATGCCAGATGCTGCTAATAAGAGTTCATTGCATCCTTGAACTTGTCTCTCTGATACTACAGAGTCTTTACTTAAAATAAAGGTGCTTGAAATGACAATTGTGTCAACCGGCACTAAACAAGAAAAATAACTTCTTTTCTTTGCATCAAAGGCATATGATAAAACCATGCTGACATTTACAAAACTTATATATATATATATATATATCTTTATTCAAATTACTTGGGGACACTTCTACTGATGGTTTTTGTTTAAAATAAATGAAATAAGTCAAATTTAAAAAATGACATCTCTTTCTCTTCCCAAGCAGGAAACTAGAGTAATAACTGGTAATAGTGATCTACAAGCATAATCTCATTACATTCCACAGCAGAAAATCCAATTAGAGCCAAAGGCTGTAAACAAAATATGTTTAGAAAACTGAAAACTTATCTGGGCCACAACTGGGCACAAAGAAACCTGCAAGTCTCAGCTTTCACTGTCTTTAAACCTCTCAACAGAAATCTTAATTCCCTGAAATAAAGAAGTATTACACATTCTTTGACAGTACTTTGTTTACTTTGCCTGTGGTGATACAAAATGGCTCTTTATCCTGGAATTCAGGGATGCCGCTAATCCCATCTCCAAAGAAGCCATTTAAAAGTCAGTCTGGACGGCCCTGGAGAGCTGGTCTCCCATCACCTTTCTGAAAGGCAGTAATAAGTGTTTTTGTTTCCAACACTGCGCCGTCTCACTCTGGTTTCATCACAGGTACAATATCGTCGTCATCTTCGTCGTCTGTATCAAAGAGTTCATCCTCAAAGAAAGATCCTCCAAAACCGTATTCCTGAGCATGGACGGACACCTCGTTAGGCATCAAGTGTGGGGAGCCTTCGACAAAATCAGCAAACCTGTGGGTAAGCATGACGACATCGTGGACCAAAACTGAACCAAAGCATGCTGCAATACTTAGTCTTTGTTATACATGTCTCTCTCTCACACACACACACACACACACACACGCACGCTAGTTATCCCTTATTAATGTCAACCTCCTGTTTCTGACCTGTTGCCAATTAACCTAATTAGTTGCCAAATCCTAAAGTACCACTTACTTTTCCAGCCTTTTTTTGCCCCATCTCAACTTTCTTGAGACATGCATTTTATTTCACGAAATACTGAAATGTCCCAGACATTAAAATGTTTAAATACTTGATTTTTTCATGCTCTGTAAATACAATAATGGTTTATAATGACTGCATTCAGATCTTTATTCATTTATTTATTTACATTTTACACAGGACAGGCTACCAATGTACCTTGTATTTAAACCCTTGACTCAAAATTGCAAATGTAGTGTGAGTGTTTGCCAGTCATGACTGGATTACATAGAAAGTTTTGTGGCACGATATATCGGAAGTAATGTTAAGATATGAGAAATGTCGCACATTCTTACTGAAGTTTAGGTCATTTAATAGATTTAGTGACGCCCCTTTAGACAGGAAAACCAATGAAGATCATTTGACAGATAGGTGTTTCAAAGTGAAAATGCTGTTTTGCTTGCTTTTCTTCTAGATAAGTGAGGAAAAACAAAAGATATCATTCATAAAGTGCATTTGAATATGCATACTGGGAAAATGAATCACTCAGCAGAAACCATGAACTAAAGCAGTTTCTGCAAATGCTGTTTGATTCAAATCATTACTTTGGTGTCTGTAAAGTGGGTTTTTCAAATGTTCTTCCCCCAGGTTTGTTGTCTAAAACATTATTGCACAAGCAGTGCAGAAAAGGCTTACTGATAAATAAGCTAGATAGAAAGTTCTTATATGATTTTAGCAATATTTGTAATGTTTCTGGCATAAAGTAGTAATTTTGATGGTTGTCATTTATCCAGACAAGAAGCCTAATATTTGTGACACTAGCTGATTTATTGCAGTCTTTGTATTGCAGATATTTTTTTCCAGATTTTAGAAATGATCTTAAAAAAAACATGGTTACAGCAATTTACTGTGTGTAATTAAGGGGTGTTTGTATTATAAACCGTGTCTAAAGCAGTCAGCTATTGGTGATCAATATTGTCTCCCATTAGTTTTGTATAGATGATTTCAGAAAGTTGCAAGGCAATAATAAAAATGAAAACTTAAAATAAATTATTTTATAAGAAACATAACTGAATCAGAAAACAATTAGTAGATATAACACTCCTCTCTTTATTTTAGGATTAGGGGGAAGTTAAGCCAAAATTGGCATTGAATCATATCTGTTATTAACCTCTGTCTCTCTTCCACAGCATGTCTTTTATCCTGTCTTCCTTCTCTCACCCCAACCGGTTGCAGCAGATGGCCGCCCCTCCCTGAGCCTGGTTCTGCCGGAGGTTTCTTCCTGTTAAAAGGGAGTTTTTCCTTCCCACTGTCGCCAAAGTGCTTACTCATAGGTCATATGATTGTTGGGTTTTTCTCTGTATCTATGAAGCGCCTTGAGGCGACTTTTGTTGTGATTTGGCGCTATATAAATAAAATTGAATTGAATTGAATTAGCAAATGACAAATGTACGAGCATAAACCCACCTTTTTGGAGACTGAATTCTAGAGACTGTCTTCCACGGGCTGAACTCTGGGCTGTTACAATATTTCCGCAGCTCCTCCAGAGCCCGCCGAGTCTCTTCCTCAGCTTCCTTCTGATACTCCTCCTCAGTCAGCAGGCGTCGTGGCTGTGGCTTCCAGTAGATGTACTGCTTGATTTTTCTGCAAAAAGAGTATTTTCATGGCTTAAATAAATCCATATTATATGAACTTAATATGACTATTGTTCTTTATTCTACAACAAGCACAGTATCACTACTTTTAAGTTCAGCAGTTCACATAAAATAATTTACCGTGTTAAGAACATGCAATAGAAGTGTTTTTCTTCATTTATTCTGTGAAACTAAGTGTGTGTTTACCACAGAAGTCAGATTATACTGCCTGTGGAACAATTATCCACAGTACACTGTGCTCTTACGCCACCTTGTGTCAGCATTTTAAAATGCATACCTCCATGCAGCAACCAGCAGATAGACTGGGTACCCCAGGTTTTTGGTAAACAAAGCAGCTACAATAAGAGCGAAGGCAACTTGCTGAATCTGAATTCCTAAATAAACCAGGAGCAGACCAAAGAGCTGCAGGGTCCACGACAGGATGTTAATGCTCTTCTCATCAACCAGAGGGCCATAACGGTAACACACAGCAAAGCTGATGAATCCCACAATTGCTACATAACCTGCCAAAAAAAAAAAACAAGCACACAAACAAAGAGAGAGAGAGTGAGATGTTTTTACACTGCATTAAAAATAGTTAAATCACTGCAAAGTTATGTACCAAATGCCCATATGCTTTACTTTTAGAACAAAGTTTTACAATTACAGCCATTTTTATATAATTTCCCATTTTCAAATGCTATGAAGTAATTGGATTATTGAGAAAGCAAACAGTTTCATGGCCAGGTCAAACCCATTTCCTCTGGTTCAATCTGGTTAACAACAAGGAGCAAACCGCAGGTTACCGTCCAGAAAAAGAAAGCCAGATGTCAGTGTGTCACAAAACATTTAAAAGTACTTGCAGAGGCTGCCAATGGAACTGGGTCACTAGTGTTTATTGATGCTGTGATTGTTGATAGATGTAGCAAGATGATTTCTGAATGTAAAGGGTTTTCCTTTTTGCTCAGAAACTGGTAAGACAGATCTTCACAGTTAAAATGATAGTGCCCCACAGAAAAAGTTTTTCAACACAAAGAAATTAGATAGTCATCAGTCACCTGATTTCAAATTAAAAGACCATGCTTTTAGTTACTGAAGAAAAAACCTGACAAACAAGCAGCAACTGGAGACTGCTGCAGTAAAGATCGAACAGAACATCTTAAGGGAAGAAACACAGCATTTGGTGCCCCCATGGGTTCATGGAACATCCAAGTATTATACAAAATTGTTATATATTTTTTATTTTTGTTAGTTTGTCCAATTCTTTCTAAGCCTCTGAAAATGGAGAAATGCAAATAAAAATTGCTGTAATTTCTAAACAGTTAAAACAATAGTTTTCTTAAACTCCATGAATTAAAGTTTAAAGTCCCTACTTCAATCACATAGTGATCGTTTGCTTTAAAATCAAACCGTCACTGATTTTGCAGCTGCAAAATGACAAAATACTGGTAGCCGCCAGTGCAACCCCTCAGCCTCATAGTAGATACAAATATTTCCCAATCCTACATCATCTTGTGCTCAAATTATTAACATTCACAAGATTTTCAGAAAACTTGACCTCTGACCTTGCCCTTGAGGTTGAAGTCACTGAGATTCAAACTTATCTGAGATTTTTGGTAGATACAGCTATCATATCCATGTTTACATTCGTATGTTGCCTTGTTCTCACATTCACCTACCCCACCCGCCCAGTGGGGTGGTAACAATGACAAGTGCGTCACTACCAAAAGAACATATGGACCCAAGTGAAAACTCCTCCATGACCGACGAGCTGCTTTGTTGCTTAGGTTATATTTTTAACAGTCTAAAACCCTAAATAATTCAAAAATAATGCTTGATTTTTATAAGGTTAAGCGGACATGTAGAAAGTTATGGCTGATTAATTATCTATCACTTTAAGTTTTGATTAGCGGAATAATCAGAAGCTGTAAAAATATATGTATGTGTGTATATACGTGGCAAATCTCTGTTAACGAGATTTGCCGCGGTGACTCTGTTAATGAGTCACCGCGGATCGCCCCTTTTAACATGTTGGCGCCGTCCAGCAATCGTTAACAGAGATTTGCCGCGTTAATGCAGTTATGGCGTTAACGCCATTTTAACTAGATTAACACTGACAACACAATTTTTTTTTTTTTTAAATATTAGGATATTTGCTTTGGTCCTCAGTTATCAGCTAGTCACAACCTGTCCATGAAGAGTCTGTACCTAATGCCACATGCCAGTGCTCTCGAAGAATAATGCTGAGGTTCCTGAACACAAGCTGGATTGCGTACACAGAGAATGACCAGCCTCCAACTATCAACACATAAAAGGGGCTTTTCTGTGTGAAGGAACAAACACAAATGGTATAAATATCAAACATATTAGAGATATTCAATATTTTTAAAAAACTTGGATTTTGGATAAAAATTAAAAACTTTACCTTTGGTAAAAAGCGTGCCAGAATGAAAAAGAGGATTATGAGAGAGGCAATCATGCCAGTGCTCATACCAGCAGAATAGAAGAAAGCCTGACTCCTTCATACAGGTGGTGAAAAAAATATATCAATTACTATGATAAACCCAACAAACCTGAAAAAGAAACTTTAGTCCATGAGAAAAAATTACCTGCTGAGTGAGTCTGCAAAGAAAAACAGCAATGCTCCAGCGAGGAATAACAAGAATAGATATATATCAAACTCTGCAAGGGAATGAAGAACAGTAAAACACCCATATTTTAACTGCCAATAACCAGCAAATTTGTTTTATTCCATACCCCCATCCCACTTACTGCGAATGGGTTTGACAGTGTATTGCGCATTGCCAATAGGATCAACCTTGAAGCACGTCTTCTTGCTGAACAGGCTGACGTTAATAACAGTCTCATTGTGCTTCTCTCGCAGCAGGCTCTGGAACCAGCCCCAAAAACTGAAGCGATCAAGCTCCTGCAGCTCCTCCTCACCTTCCACAGTGTCCACCTTAAACACCTTTGAACTCCACACTTTGACCTGTCAGATATTGGTAATATTATATCACTCACAAATTTAATCCAGAGGCTCTTTTTAGCTGACTGTCAAGCTGTAAATAAAATTTGAAGTATGTTAGAGTAGATTACATTAGACCACTAAAATACCCAAACTGAGGGATGATTTTAAAGAAAGAAAGAAAGAAAGGATTTCAGTATTTTACCAGTTGTGGGCTGGCAGATTCACCTACTTGAATTCTTGTCCATGTCTGCCTCCAGGTTGGCAATACGGTGTTTCTGTAACAGAACCGGTTGGATCCTGACATGACATACTCGTCACCATCCCGCAGATTAGTTATTTCATGTTCTTCACCTGGGATGCATGCCAATAAATAGTAAGACTGCAACTGCCATTGTACCTTATAAGCAATATTGTTTGTGCAAGAATAACCTTTGACCAGAACACATTTGAACTCTCATTGTTTACAGCATTTACAGTATAATACAAACATTATAAAACAATTGTAGTGTCTGTAAATCCCAAGAAAAGACAAAAACCTGCAACTATATCAGTTCACACTTAATGTCTCTAATATTTCACAGTGCTATGGCCCACCGGGTGTCAGGGTACCCAACATAGTTGCCCTTTAATTTTCAAAAAAGTACTCAATTACCCATGTGTGGTTGAGACTTTTTATTTTATCATTATTATTAATGATTTTGTTTGCTGGTAGGGATGTTCTATATGTTTTCACACTGTTGCATTATCCGCTAGTTATGTTACAAAATATAGCAAATGGTAGTGTAATAATGGAAACAATGCTCATTATTTAAACGACACACGGCAAAAAATACTCAGTTTTTCTCAGGAAATATTTCAGTTTTGGGACAGAGTTAATAATAATTTGCATTTACTTTAAATTATAGGCTAAGCATTCAAGTTGTTTCCGTTAAGGAAAATATACAAGTGTTAACTGCAACCTCTTTTCGGGCAAGTTCATGCAGGTTTCTAGGGTTTCGGTTCGACAAATTTAAACCTAACAAATCTGAAAGAGCTGCATAAATAATGTTTAGTCTAATTTATTATTTATACGAACACACAACCGGAGCCAGGGAATAATCAAGATGTAGGAATCTTAGAAAATAGCCACCAATGTTCACCATACAATAACCTTTCTGCGGTCTCACTGACTCAAAGACTGAACACAAGCTAACAATAATTAGCCTGAGCAAAACCAGTTCGAAATATGCCCCCGTGTAACTCGCGGTGTATGTTTCTGCTTCACAAGACCGCTTCTTACCCGTATCCTGTTGTGAGATTTGAGGTAAACACATAAGGAGCACCGCAAGAACCATGAATCTAGCGTTTGCTGAAATAAAACCGTTTATGATTTTCATGCATCCCGCCATGATAATTCCACTGTACCCCGCCTCTAACGCCTTGTCCCGCCCCTTCCGTCTCCGGAGAACTCGGTTGAGTCGCAGGCCGATCAGCCAATCACCGCGTTACACTGGATCGTTCGTCATCGTTTTTAGAGTACGTCTCTTTATTTTCCCGAAATCCACTCCTATTTGCCCTGTATGTCTACTGTACAAACTGAACTGGAATGACTAACAGTTCACTTTACAATTTCAAATAAAGTTATAAAAAAATCTTCCTTAAATCCACAAGAAAAATTGTTTTGATAGTTAGAAGATGTTTTATTTTTTAGATCCATCTATTTTAGTATTATGTTCTAACCCCCCCCCCCCCCCCCCCCCCCCCCCCACAATACTTAAATTACTTCACTGAAGATATCATTCAAGTTCATATGCATGTGAAATCAGATGAGCAAATACACAAAAATCTGAACTCCACAATGCCCTGCACAGCTCAGGGTAAAGAAGGCTTTGATTAAAAGATAGAATTGTGTTATTCCTACCCAGTATATTCTTAAGTCTATGGGAGAATTCACATTCATTGTTTCAGTATTAATATAATCCTTGCTGTGGTCAGTTAATGATTTGTAAGAACATGTACTGCTGTTTAGCCTTTTATGTGGTCTTGTCTGTTTTGTATTATTGCACAGGACCGACTGATCTCCAGAAAGAGGAATCTCAAAGTTTATGAAAGAGGTCCAGACAAAGAATTAAACATAAAGCAATCGCCACAATTCAATATCACATTGAATACATTAAATTATCTAATAGATTACATTAGTCTGATCAGGAAGGCTGGCTCTGTGGTCAGCATGAAGCTGGACACTCTGGTGACAGTGGCAGAGAAAAGGACATTAAAAAAATTGCTGGACATTATGGACAATGCTGGGCATCCTCTGCACACGGCCATAGACAACCAGAGGAGTCTGTTCAGTGGCAGGTTGCTTCTCCCAAAGACAAGAACCAACAGACTTAAAAACTCCTTTGTCCCACACGCCATCAGACTGTTTAACTCCTCTCTGGAGGGGAGAGGGAGAGGAAACAGGAGGACAAAGTAGGGGGGAACAACTAAGCTGTAGTGCCTCTTCACTGTGCAATACTTTTTGTTAATATCCAACGGTGCAATAGACTTCAATACTTGAAATGTGCAATTCCCTTCTATTCTTATTCCTATTTATTCTATTTATCCCTTTTGTATATTTTATTTATATATGTCTCTGTATTTATATATGTGTATATAATGTCTCTGTAAAGCACTTTGAATCACCTTGTTGTTGAATTGTGCTATACAAATAAACTTGCCTTGCCTTGCCTATATATAGTACTCTGCTCACATTCTGCAACTTCTGTCAGTTCTGTGCTATTGGAAACCGAATTTCCCACCCGAGGGATTAATAAAGTTTTATCTAATCTAATCTAATCTAATCTAGTCTTGATACAGCCTGTTGCGATGATGTTGTTTATTATATTGCTCTCTCTTTTTTTGCTTGTTTTCTCTTTTCTCTTTCTCAACAGGTGATCCAGGTGATTGATATATGTTTTTTCTGTCTGTTTGTTTTGTTGGTTTTTGTTTTTTTGCCTTTATCACCGTTCCTCTCCCCGCTGTTTTTCTTTCCCTGCCTCTCTTTCTTTCTCCCTTCTCTTTCCCCCAGTCATGTCTGTCCCGTGTGTAGCAAGTGAAAATAAAATAAAATAAACAATAAAAGCAAAGGTGAATCAAATAGACCAATAGAGCAAGGCCGGGATGGTCCATTTGGTAAAGTAAATCCGTTGGGCATCTTTCTTTGCCTTTAGACAATAATTCTGGTTGGCAAAAGAACCAAACGGGACAGGCAGAAAGAAAAAATAAAAAAATTAAAGCTTCAATATTAAAGTTCTGACCTCTTTGCGATCTTGAATAGAGTACGCTAAAACCACTCCATCTGCTCATTTTATTTGTTAAATTGTTGATAATATGCGTTAAGAAAAAAAATCAGGCCATTTTATTACATTTTATGGTCGTGTAACCAAGGGTGATATTTTTGTTTGTTTGTTTGTTTTGGCTGCTAAAGGGGAAAACTGCTGAGAAAAACTCAGCACTAACAGCACAGTGACAACTTCCACTGAACTTCTGTGAACTTCCACTTAAGTTCAGTAATGTCAAACAAGTGTTGCCCTCTTGTGGACATGTAAGTACTTAATCATTATCAAGAGCTTGAATACAAATGAAGTTGTTGTTATCTTCACACAGTGAAATGTCTGTGTAAGTTTTCAGTCATCCAGATCATAGTAGTCTTGAGGGCTTGAATAAGGTAACTCGACGTCTTTAGGAATTTTACCTCTCAAGAAGCCAACTGCATGAGAGCTGAAAGGTCTTGGGAAACGTAAAAATGTCCAGTTGTCTTCTTTTTTTCAAGCCCTCAAGACCACACACTGACATATTTAAATGTCACAAGCTGCAAAGGACAAGTGTAATTGATCATATTAATTCATGACTCATTTTTGTGCTCACCCAGTTTTAAGATCCTGGTCTCGCCTTGAAGACCAGGAGGTAGACTGTCATGTGAAGGGTGGTGCAACTGTTTGGGTTAAGCCATCATTACTTCTTTAGTATCACCCACGCCTTTCCTGTTATGAGGAGTGAAAATGACCACCACTTCAAAAGCTTGGCATTAAAGCACAAAGGACTTTTAGCATGTAATTTTAGCAACTAATTGGTGAAGTGTTCAAAGGATGTTGAAAGATACCGCCTTACCGACAACAAAAATAATGTGGACATACACTTACGAAATGCATAAATATATTTTTATGATATGTCTCTAGTGTGATTAGCAAAATTGAAAACATGGCAAACACAACACCTAAAAATGTTTTAAATATGCTGAAGCAAGCATTCAGCTCAAAGTAGTGCTACATAAACACAGTGAGTGTAGCTCTAGGCTCCGGTTACAAACTGAACAGCTGCCCTGACCTACTGGCATACGTGTCATTTAATATTGTCAAATGGCGGAACCACATGACGCTGCATTTCACAATGTTATCACTATGTTCCCGCAGCATGCAGAGAGTGTAGCAGCTTTGAAATGTGTTCGTGGAAGGAAGCAAAGTGCTGTTTAATATTTCGCAGTTAGACACTCAGTGAAGGTTAAACTAAAAGCTGCTGCTGTGCATACATCAAATTAGCCAACTGTGACACCATCTGTCACTTGTGTCACTTATTTTATTTTATTTTAAACTAGGTCACACGTATTATTACTACTTTATGGTCTATTCAGGAATGTAGGTTACTCGGGTGGTTTTTGTGTGTGATACATTTATGAACCAACTACACATTTATTACTTTGCAGGTAACAAGGAGAGCACCTAGGATTAGTGATTTAGTTTCCTCTGGAAAACACTGTAAAACATATTTAAAAGTAAGAGAAAAATAATCATATAACTGTTTGCAAATAGAGCACCATAAAAATATAAGTGTTCAGCATTTGAACTGTTTTATGATGACCTGAGGAATACCATAAGTTGAAATGTGTTGGTTAAATAATAAAGTTGTTGTATGAACTAAAGTGTTGCTGGAGGTTTATCTTTATCTGTACTGGATTTGTTCACATCATTCAGACTTTTACCACATGATCATAAATGATAATAATACTTTCTGATGTTATAAAAGCACAGCCTTACTGTAATTTATATGTCACAGGAAGTGACAGTGACTTGAGTGATCACAGCTCATTTGAATTCTTTGTAAACTTTGGTCAGTAAGACACTTAATCACCAGGATAAGAACGTTAGTGTGTAAAATGGGGAAATATATGAGGAGTTCACCTTTCACACATTGTGTTGTAACTTGTGTATTAAACATAACTTGTGTCACACTTTACATTTGCACCCTTTTTTTTAATGGAAGTGAGATAATTTAATAACAAATGGATGGAGATAATCATGGCTTTGTGCACATAGTATACTACTCGTTTGTTGTGAAATACAAACTGGTGCAATTAATGTAGATATTTTAAATCAGTAGCCCTTTATTGATGTATGTGTAAATTTTGAACAATAGCAGCATGTTAAGAGAATGTGAACCAAATTTACAAATAACAAGAAGAGAAAATACATTTTCCCTGACAACCCAAAATTGGTTGTTAATGCCTTACAACGAATTTATATTAATTAGCAGCTTATGACGCTGGTATTTACAACTTGCAAATATTTGTATGAGTGAATGAAGAGAAAGTATTAGCTTTACTCAAAAAATAAGCTATACATAATAAACATGCGCACACAGACAAACAGCTAACATGAAGTGACACTGGGATTATATGATGCTGTGGTCCTAGAGTTACCTCTATTTATACTAATTAAAGTGATCTCTAGGTGACTGATGGAGTTATTTTTATGGATTCAAACTTCCAGACTATGTAAACAAGTCAGGTCAGTTTCTAAATAGATGGATGTATGGGGCTCATTTAAAAATGGGGAAATGAAAGTCAAACTGATTGGTATGTAGAAAGTTCTAGAATTACAGCTTTGCCATATTGGTTTTGCCACACCTCAACCTGACTCCAATTCTCCAATAACACCAACTAGTTAATCAACCGATATATCTTTACATATCCTAACATTAACCGACTACGCTAGAATATTACACAGCAGTAGGAGTTTGCATTTAACGACGGGGCCCTGAAGGCAGCATTGAAGGGTAGAGTTGCGCAGGACAGCAAAAAGGAGGGAGCAGGAGGTAGCAGAGAGCGTGAAAGAAAGAGGAGGGAGTATAAACGGCGGAACGCATCAGAGTCCCCTACAGCTTCAACTTTGTCTTCGCCTTTCGTGGCAAGATTTTAAAAACTTCTTCTGAAAGGTAGGTGTTAAAATAGCACTGAAAAAGTTTTCTTTTTCTCCTAACCGTTTTCCGTCCGGTGTTTTTTTGGGTCGCTTTCTAAACTGTGCATCTAGCGGTTCCGTTGTCTTTTCTTTTAGACAAAAGAAAAATGTCGCCTAATGTAGATAAGGGTGGTTTATCGTAATTCTTTTAACTTAATTTGTAGACTTATTTGTG